ATATATTCTCCCCAACGCAAATTTTCTTGGAAAAAAATAAGCTTATCTTGGAATATATGATTTATTTTTACGCAGTTTAGAGTGGAATAACAATATTTTATAAACCCAACTGCCACTACAATTTTTTTTTCGAATAAATTTCATTTTTTTTTGTGCTTTATCGGCGTTTTTGTGCCATAACCCTTGCCCGGACGGAGCCGTGGGAACGCGAAATGACACTTTTTCCCTAAAGAGGTGAATAACACAGTGTCCGGGGCAGGGGAGAGTGAATGGGCGCGCAGGGAAGCTCACACCTGTAGGGTAGAGGTGGAGGTGCCGTGGGAGCGGTAGAAAGAGGCGTCCTAACCCGGATTGGGGATTTTTAGGAAATTGCGAATAATCAGAGAGAGAGCAGAGTGGTTGGTGGTGAGGGTGTGGTGATGGTGAGAGTGATGGTGAGGGTGTCAGAGGGGGAATGAGTGAGCACAGAGGGGTGGGGTGGGGGGGGGGGAGTGACGGGGAAGGTGCAAAGTAAACTGGGATTTTATGCAGGATTTCGTGTTTTATGATGTGAGTTTTTTGTGTCGTTGATGCTGATGCGTCGCCTCTTGTGGCGGGTATTTCTGGCGTGAGCTCTTAGTTCGTGCGTCGGTGCGTATCGTCATTGCGTGTCGCGACTTGGTGTTGATATTGGTTCCGGGTACATCATCATGCGCTTGTGTGTGTGTGTGTGTGTTTGGGTGGGTGTGATATTTATAAATCTTCATTTAATACTGCCCTCCCACGCGTGTGCGTTCAGTGCGTTCATCTCTTGTTAGTACGCCATATTTTGAGTATTTGATAAGGTTTCCAAATGTTTCTTTTTAATCATTCTGTATCATTCGCTTATGCATCATTATCCCGTTTGCGTCACAGGCTAATGCGTCACTCTTACACACGTCACTACCATCCATGCGTCACTACCATCTATGCGTCACTGGCTCGTGCGTCATTACCTTCCATGCGTCAGTATACGGACGCATACTCTGCCCTTCCTCAGAGTAATGAACAGTCCCGACGCTGCTGATTTAAGCAATATCTCTTCAAATTTTGCAGATCGTTCTCTTAAAAAAAAAACAATCCAGCCATTTACTCTAACCAGAAACGCACTAACCCAAGCAACCCACCCCCTAACCTACTGAGTCCCAGGGCATAGAAAACGTGAATATATTTCGTGTACCATTACATTCCTGAATAGGTTGCAGAGAGGTTAACCTCGATTACCAATAACGTAAGAAATCCAGCCTATTAGTTGAGAGGGTCTGTCAGTATGTGGGGGAGTTTACACATACAAACCTTTGGTGTCTGCTCTGACCAGAGGTAAACCATCTATGGTGTAGCTCTGACCGGAGGTAAACCATCTATGGTGTAGCTCTGACCGGAGGTAAACCGTCTATGGTGTAGCTCTGACCAGAGGTAAACCGTCTATGGTGTCTGCTCTGGCCAAATGTAAACCATCTATGGTGTAGCCCTGACCAGAGGTAAACCGTCTATGGTGTAGCTCTGACCGGAGGTAAACCATCTATGGTGTAGCTCTGACCGGAGGTAAACCGTCTATGGTGTAGCTCTGACCGGAGGTAAATCATCTATGGTTTAGCTCTGACCGGAGGTAAACCGTCTATGGTGTAGCTTTGACCAGAGGTAAACCATCTATGGTGTAGCTCTTAACAGAGGTAAACCACCTACTACTCTGAACAACTCACTTCTGCCCTTCGGTTCATGCGTATGACATTGGCGTAACTATAATGAGTCATTGTAACGAAATAACGTTCGACGTTTTGAACGACGTACTGGGGTTATGTATTAATTAATATGCCTCTGGGGCCAGATTCACGAAGCAGTTACGCAAGTACTTACGAAAGTTTACATCTGTCCTCAATTTTTGACGGCTTTGGTTACATTTATTAAACAGTTTACATGCATGAAAACTTCCCAGTCAACTGTTGTTATTGTTATAAACAGCCTCCTGGTGCTTCGGAGCTCATTAACTGTTAAATAATTGTAAACAAAGCCGCCAAAGATTGGAAAAAGATGTACAGGTACTACGAAGAAACTGGAGAATTTGAGGTTGAAAGCCAACGATGTGTAGGAGAACTGGAGAAGAAAACAAGGGATTGATTGATTGATGAAGATTAAGCCACCCAAAAGGTGGCACGGGCATGAATAGCCTCTGAGTGGTGGCCCTTTTAAGCCATTACCAGTATCAAGAGCTGATACTGGAGATCTGTGGAGGTGCGAATGCACCCTGCATGACGAGAGATGTCTCCCTTGTGAATGTGTTAAGATGAAGATGAAGCCACCGAAAAGGTGGCACGGGCATGAATAGCTCGTAAGTGGTGGCCCTTTTGAGCCATCACCAGTATTAATAGATGATACTGGAGATCTGTGGAGGTGCGACTGCACCCTGCGTGACGGGAGATGTCTCCCGTCGAAAACAAGGGGTTTAACGAAGGTCAGTAAGAGGATCACTAGGATAAGAGGTGTTGTAATGCCCCTTTGATCCTCTTAATGGCTTACCACCTCTTGATCAAGACTTACAATTTTTTATATTGGCCTGATTAAATTTTGGAGCCTCTTTATTTTTTGGTCCAGTTAAGGGTTAAACTTTTTTTTTCAGCAAAGAGATGCAGTTTCTAAGCTTAATAAGAAGTTGAGCGTCATTTAAGATTCAGATGATAGACTAGAACCCTTCTTTCCTTTGATAAAGGAATTCTGAAACTACTTCTATAAACAGTAGATGATTAAATCCCTTCCCACTCCCTCAGCCTCCCTCATCACACCAGTTCTTAAGTTTAGGGAAAAAAAACAATCTCTAAATAAAGGATTGAAGTCTCCCTTTGCAAAAACAATTATAGTGGATTCCTCTCTGGTTGATAAGAGGGTTGGAAGTCTTCTTCTAGCCATACTGTACATTGATCAGAATCCTCCTTCGAGAGAGCTCGTGGATAGCTTATCCACGAAACGGTTCGAACTCTCTCTTCCGGAAAGGAAATTAATTTCTCGCTTATCATGTCGCCTAAAAGATTGTAAATTGCAGGAAGATTAATAAGTCTTCTTTGGTTACGTTTTCATTTACATTTCATATCTTCCTTAAATTATTAAGGGTTAAGGAGTGTTCAGTGTTGCAGCATACAGCTTCCCAGCTGAAATATACTGACAAATCTTCCATGTTGACGAATGTTGTGAGACCTTCCTTGCTTAAATTTATCGAGAGGCCTCCATCCCCTGTTGAAATACATTGACAGATTTTCCAGTCTTCCATGACTATGTATACAGTTGAGTTCACTAACGACTCTGCCGTAAGAGGCTAAACACTCGTACTGGCTAGAAACACAATGTGCCAGCTATCTTAGCAAGGTGTTTGAAGCCTTGTAAGAAGTGAACTGTCATCCCTGGTATATGTAACAGCTTTTGCTGCCGTCCTTGTATATATATATATATATATATATATATATATATATATATATATATATATATATATATATATATATATATATATATATATATATATATATATAAATTGTTTAGACGCTAATCTGACTGATGACCAGACCACACACTAGAATGTGAAGGGACGACGACGTTTTGGTCCGTCCTGGACCATTCTCAAGTCGATTGTGACAATCGACTTGAAAATGGTCCAGGACGGACCGAAACGTCGTCGTCCCTTCACCTTCTAGTGTGTGGTCTGGCCATCATACTTTAGCCACGTTATTGTGACTCATCGCCTGCTAATCTGACTGATTCTTAAACGTCTATTCTTGATGTCAGAAATATTGCAGTTTCTCACCAAATATTCTGTTGTGACCCACTGCAACCCGCATTCTCAACTGGGTTGTGTGGTAACCATCGTGCCAAATGTGACCTACTATGAAAAGTAGAGCCTCAAACAGGTATTCACGTTTTCTCTTGCATCATTAGGCTACGTTACGTGGGTTGTTTGGGTTCGTACGCTTAGGGTTAGGTTAATAGGTTGTGTTTTGTACGGAGCGGCAAATCAGACGAATAGGCTGCGCAAACACAATTGTATACGAGATGAAATAAAACAACATTTTCGTTTAGAACATAAACAAAAAAGTTTACAGTTCTAAACGTATACAGTATATACATTAACAGTATACAGTTTATACATTAACAGTATACAGTTTATACATAAACTGTATATTGTACATTCCTTGTATTTTGCTGTAAATTATTAGCTCGTGATGTGGTTGCCGGAACCGTTGGAGGAGGTGATGAATCAGCCCTCACATTATTGAAGAATGACAGCTATGAATTGTCCCACTCATTATCTATCTACAACAACTTTTAAGTCCCAATTCGATTTTTTTTCCCTTGGTAGTTACGTTGGTTTCGGAGAAAACCTGTCACAAACTTAATAGGATAGAAACAGCTGAGAGGTAGATATTATTAACAGACTCCTATCTGTTTATGGCCTCGTAATTTTTATCTGATCATGTAATGCCCGTTCCGCTGAACATAGATGTGAAGTCACTGTACTAGATGAGGTCTTAGAGGCGTCGTAAACTCAATATCAGATCAGGAAATGGCGATATTAGGCTGCAATCTCTCGATACGTTGAGATTATCGGTGGTTAAGGCTGGTGCTGCTGCCAGGAGGAAGGGGGAGGCGAGCATAGAAAACGGAGGAGGGTGAATGGGTCCGTGCCGTACACGTGCGCCCGCCCGGACCCCGACACCTACACGACCTCCCTTAAATACTTCATTTGTATGTCATGTTTGCAATATTTGCGTTGTTTATTTGTCGAGATGATAACATGAGAGGCTGTGTTATAATATAAGCTAAGCTAGGATATCATAGAGGCTCACATTTGTGTTATTATTGGGTACGTAATACACGCCTTCTTAGCCAATAGCGGAATAAACGGCCGACCCTCCCGCCATTTGACTATGTAAAAAAAACAACCTGGGCTTTTGGACTTACGAAAGGGTTCGACAAGGGGTCCCAACCGCCAAGCCATAATGGCTGCCGGTGGTACATTTGGGTATGTAAAAAACAGGGATGAATTTTCAAAAGGTGAGCACAAAAGGTGCGGGAGCGGAAGGGAGCGCGCAACTTGATCGCCTCTCGATGGCGGCTTATTTGATAGTTGGCGCCACACCCGTTACTGTGTGTGGCGGGGGGCGCCTACCCCCGCCGCGCAGCCATACGCAGGGCGGCCTGGAGGCTGATCAGGCCTCACTACACCCACTGCGGCGCCTCCTACAGGTTGCTGAAACCGAAGACAGAGTCACTATTGTCACTATAGCTTCTCACTAAGCAAAATATGACAGTCGAAGCCGTCAAAATCAACTATGCCTTTTCTTGAGCAGTTCAGGTTAAAGTATATTAGCAGCAAATTATTCAAGATCTTAAATATAATTAAGGGGTTATCTCAGTTCGGAGCCTATCAGAACAAGATTGTCGTTTGGGCGATGATAGGCGCTTTTCATTTCATTAGATTATGATCGTTCTTGGCCACTGAAGAATCTCTCAACGATATATTCATTGTTGACAATGACTCTAACTTGTTATTTTGTTACGACCATATATTAACTGATATTTTCAAGGGGTTGTTAAAGACAGCCACTTGTGTACGGATCTTCCCCTGTCATATATACGCAGTCACATGTCCTACCACATATGCATAGTCAAGCACACGGTGTTACTTAAATGATCAAGTCTGATCATTTCAGAAATGGGATGCACAGGAGAAGTTAGGAACATGTTGACCAAACCCACACACTAGAAAGTGAAGGGACGACGACGTTTCGGTCCGTCCTGGACCATTCTCAAGTCGATTGTGTGCGATGTGCACACAATCACAATTAGGAACATGTGCGGTGTGCGCTGCAAGTTGTAAACAGTCACATGTGCACAGGTGTCTTGATCACTTGTGCATCAAAATAATCACTACATAGGTTATGACTAGTAGGGGGGGGGGGGGTAGAAATAGCCTAGGCTACTCTATCCCTTTGAGATGTATTTCTTGTCTCAATAAACATATTTGAATTACACGTACACTGTAGTTTGTCAGTGTGTATCGTGTTGTACAGGTCACCTTTGTACGTCATATCGTGGCGGTCATGTCCTACCCTAGATGTGCTTGTAGAGAACGAGCTTCGGCTCTTGGGCCTCGCCACTCGCGCGACCCTGGGTGCAGGTTCTGCACCCATTGTGCATGACACATGTCGTCTGAAGGCAAGTGGAAATCACCTCCGTATCATTTGCTAATCGGTTATTAGTTACGTCTCTAACATGGCTCATTCAGGTACTTTATTTCCACGTGTGTGTCTCCTTGTTAACTGTCCCTCTCATTTTTAATAGCTTTTTCTTCCCAACTCCATAAGTTACATTGAGAACTTTTTATGTCAGGATCATATCTCTCGTGTTTCTATCCTCTTGTGACGTTTCGTGTTCTCAGTTTTCGCAATTCTTAGTCCGGTGTTTCTAGACCTGTACCAGTTAATTTGTATTTGACGAAAAAGAAAACTGTCCCCCACAGTTAACCCAATTTGCATATGCAGCTGATGATAATCAGTTGATGTATGCTTCAGCAAACAGAATCGGTGTGATATGATCTGCATTTTTCTGGAGTTACTTTATTTAACTTTCCCTTCGTCGTCGTCAGGCACATGAACCAGTAGAGGATGACCCCAGAAGTGACCCCCCTGCAGCGGTGACCCCAGAAGTGACCCCTGCAGCGGTGACCCCTTCAACGGTGACCCCAGAAGTGACTCCTGCAGGACAGCGCTGGTTGTCCTCAACCTTCACATAATTACATTAGGTGAAGGTTGAAGCCATTTGTGCAAGTGAATATATGCTATATAATACCCGCTGATGTCTGTTGTGAAGTCTGTTATATTTTCCCCCTCTCCCACATGTCTCCTCTCACAGTCTTCCCTCTCCCACACGTCTCCTCCCACAGTCTTCCCTCTCCCACATGTCTCCTCTCACAGTCTTCCCTCTCCCACATGTCTCCTCCCACAGTCTTCCCTCTCCCACACGTCTCCTCCCACAGTCTTCCCTCTCCCACACGTCTCCTCCCACAGTCTTCCCCCTCTCCCACACGTCTCCTCTCACAGTCTTCCCCCTCTCCCACACGTCTCCTCTCACAGTCTTCCCTCTCCCACACGTCTCCTCTCACAGTCTTCCCTCTCCCACACGTCTCCTCCCACAGTCTTCCCCCTCTCCCACACGTCTCCTCCCACAGTCTTCCCTCTCCCACACGTCTCCTCCCACAGTCTTCCCTCTTCTTCCCTTCCCTCCCTGTTGTACAAGGCAAACGAATACACGTCTCCTCCCACAGTCTTCCCTCTCCCACACGTCTCCTCCCACAGTCTTCCATCTCCCACACGTCTCCTCTCACATTTCTTCCATAAGTATTAACTTTTCTCTTGCTATCTCATTCACATCTCTTTCCTAGAATCCTCTCCTCCACACTCCCCTTCCCTCCTCCTCCAAACCCCCTTCCTCCACACCTCTCCTCCAAACCCCCTTCCTCCACACCTCTCCTCCACCACACCTCTCTTCCACCACACCTCTCTTCCACCACACCTCTCTTCCACCACACCTCTCCTCCACCACACCTCTCCTCCTCTACTCCAACACTGACATGCGTCCTTTACTATTATATGTTGCCTGAACCTTCCCTTTTCCGTCCTTCCCAGCCACCATCTCAGTTACCTTCCCAAATTCCTCAATTATCGTCTTAATTCCATAATTACTACCTCCCCATGGTAATCCCCAACTCCATGTCTTTTTTTCCATACTGCCCCCTCCCTACCCTCAGTTCCCCTCTTACACCCCTCCTACGCCCACTTTCCCTTCCCCCACATGGATGGTGGGGGAAGGGGAAGTGGACGGAGGGTGGGAGAGGGAAGACTGAGAGAGGAGACGTGTGGGAGAGGGAAGACTGAGAGAGGGGACGTGTGGGAGAGGGAAGACTGAGAGAGGAGACGTGTGGGAGAGGGGAGACTGTGGGAGGAGGCGTGTGGGAGAGGGGAGACTGTGGGAGGAGACGTGTGGGAGAGGGAAGACTGTGAGAGGAGACATGTGGGAAAGGGAAGACTGTGGGAGGAGACGTGTGGGAGAGAGGGAAGACTGTGGGAGGAGACGTGTGGGAGAGGGAAGACTGTGAGAGGAGACGTGTGGGAGAGGGAAGACTGTGAGAGGAGACATGTGGGAGAGGGAAGACTGTGAGAGGAGACGTGTGGGAGAGGGAAGACTGTGAGAGGAGACGTGTGGGAGAGGGGAAGACTGTGGGAGGAGACGTGTGGGAGAGGGAAGACTGTGGGAGGAGCCGTGTGGGAGAGGGGGAAAATATAACAGACTTCACAACAGACATCAGCGGGTATTACATAGCATATATTCACTTGCACAAATGGCTTCAATCTTTTTATCAACAGAAATTTTATCAACAAAAATATTATGTTTTCATTGGGTATTAATGACATATACACAAACACACCTCTTTCCTAAAGTTGTTTATCCTACTACATACCTATTTTTAGATGTCTTATTCTACGGTCTCTCTCTCTCTCTCTCTCTCTCTCTCTCTCTCTCTCTCTCTCTCTCTCTCTCTCGCTCTCGCTCTCGCTCTCATCGTAACTCTCGCTAGTCAAATTTTCTTCAGCAGTTTTGCGTTCTCAAAATCGAAGGGTTAAGAGGGGCCAAGGGGTGCATTTGTTTATGTAAAAACTGGGGTTCAGGGGACGTCAATGGACAGGCGGGCGGTGGACGGTTGGGGGTACCTTCGCTTCAGTAGGCCCGGACACTGTCTCTCCACGGGCCGAGCTCCGCCGGCGGGTCCATCCTTATTTAGGGCGGGGAACAGGGGTAAAGGGCTTCAGCAAGGGGCTTGAGAGGTCGTGGAGGGGGCCCAGGCATGCTTCGTTGCCAATGGGGTATTTTTGCCTTAAGAAAATATGGGCGTGGAGGGCTTTGAAGCTTCAGCCATCAAGGTGTTCCATATTGTTAAGAGCACCTTTTGTGGTGGTCCTCTTTGGTGTGTCTTGTACAGTGTGTGTGTGTGTTTGTGTGTTGCACATGTGTATATTTGCGTGTGTGTGTGTTGCACATGTGTATATTTGCGTGTGTGTGTAGATGTGAATCTTTATTTAATAAGTTTAACAAATGTGAGAAAACGGGAGTCAGAAGGGAGAACATAATACAATTTAAAACTTAAGAGGAAGTTGGAGTGTGTCTCAGAAACGAGCTAAACATTCACAAAACCACTACAACCTGTTGTATTAAGTGACTTTCCCCTTTTCTTAGGAATCTATTTTGTCCATAGTTGTTGTTTTCAGCTGTTCATTGGTCTTGGCATGAAATGACTTTTATTGAGGCATATCTGACGGATATTCACGATATCGACCAAGAAAAAGAGAAATGATCAGATATGGCATTATTGTCCAACAGACATCAGCAGAAAGAACTTTTGTATATGAAGTGATTTTTGTCTTATTGTGCATTTGAATAGGCTGCAAATTTCAGAATATTTCCTAAATCTCCCGTTACAGCCCTACCCTCTTCCTCCCCCCTCTCTTTTTCACAACAAAATGGTGCATTTAACTACACACCATCTCGATAGGGTTAGACCAGCTGCCATTTTTATAACCGACCCCGGGGGGGGGGGCTTCCGTTCATGCGATGCGAAATGGGGGTAGCAATTTAAATTCAAAAGAGGGGGGGGGGGTGCCATTCAAATGCGCCCAGCCAATGGCGTGTCAGATCCGTATTTAGTATGTAAAAAAAACGGAGCGAGGCCCCTGAAAAGGGTTGTGTTCTGTGATGCATGCCTCCTGTCACCCGCCCCAAAGACTGCCCTGTGATATAACGTACTTGAGCATACAAAAAACCGTTCTCTGCCTGAATTTATTAAAATCTATTATTGGCATGTGCGCGGCCTCAATAGCGGAAGCCTAACAGCCATTGAGGAGAGAGAGAGAGGAAAGGGGGGGGGGGGGAGCCTACACGGGGTTGAAACTTGTATAAAAAAAACGGGTCGTAGGGATACGTGGAGTATTGCCAGCGACCGATCAAACCGCTATCGATTTTGAGTAGTAAGCATATATATCAAATTTATGGTATTGGATAGTGGTTTAAAATTAATACGTGAGCTAAAGCTTCATAGCTTATTACACTATACATCTTACAGGGGCTCCACCAGCTTAAAATTAGGCTTTAAGCTAGCATAAAGCTTGCATAGTGGCGCCTAACGACCCCTTCACCGTCCCTACAGCCTTACCCTAGAGCACGACGCCTATAGGTCCCTCCGATTTGACTAGGTAAAAAAAACCCTATCCCCCGGCAGCCAGCCTCAGACCCTCGGATAATAAAAGCCGGCGTTACTTTGTCATGCAGAAAGGGTTAGACGAATAGGGTTGAAGCACGCTTCAGGAGAACAAGACCGTCGTGGCGGGACCAATCGCAGGGTGCCACGTCACTACAAAATGGAGGACTATTTTACATAATTGGATTGTGAATATGCAATGAACCGCTGCCATTTTGTTTTTGGAGTTTTCATAGGTTATAACCTATGAAAACTCCAAAGTTTAAGTGGACAGCTTTAGTCAGATTGCGAAACGTCAGTGAATGTTGTATAGAAATGTTTAAGATTCAGCTACAAGGAAATGATGCAAAATTTTGTTATTACAGTGAACTTGAGAGTTTAAGTCCAATTCATGATAAAGTTAACATCATAGAGGTTAACAAGCTTTGTTAACCTCGACAACGTTAACTGGAGATATACGCGAACTATACTATGATGACAGACCATTGTAGGCATCATTGTAAACAAATAATTACGTATTGTGTTCTTAACGAACCACTAATGTACTGTGTTCTTAACGAACCACTAATGTACTGTTCTTAACGAACCACTAATGTACTGTGTTCTTAACGAACCACCAATGCACTGTTCTTAACGAACCACTAATGCACTGTGTTCTTAACGAACCACTAATGCACTGTGTTCTTAACGAACCACTAATGTACTGTTCTTAACGAACCACTAATGTACTGTGTTCTTAACGAACCACTAATGTACTGTTCTTAACGAACCACTAATGCACTGAGTTCTTAACGAACCACTAATGCACTGTTCTTAACGAACCACTAATGTACTGTGTTCTTAACGAACCACTAATGCACTGTGTTCTTAACGAACCACTAATGTACTGTGTTCTTAACGAACCACTAATGTACTGTGTTCTTAACGAACTACTAATGCACTGTGGTCTTAACGAACCACTAATGCACTGTGTTCTTAACGAACCACTAATGCACTGTTCTTAACGAACCACTAATGTACTGTGTTCTTAACGAACCACTAATGCACTGTGTTCTTAACGAACCACTAATGTACTGTGTTCTTAACGAACCACTAATGTACTGTGTTCTTAACGAACTACTAATGCACTGTGTTCTTAACGAACCACTAATGCACTGTGTTCTTAACGAACCACTAATGCACTGTGTTCCTAACGAACCACTAATGCACTGTTCTTAACGAACCACTAATGCACTGTGTTCCTAACGAACCACTAATGTACTGTTCTTAACGAACCATTAATGCACTGTTCTTAACGAACCACTAATGGACTGTGTTCCTAATGAACCACTAATGTACTGTGCTCTTAACGAACCACTAATGTACTGTGTTCTTAACGAACCACTAATGTACTGTGCTCTTAACGAACCACTAATGTACTGTGTTCTTAACGAACCACTAATGTACTGTGTTCGTAACGAACCACTAATGCACTGTGTTCCTAACGAACCACTAATGTACTGTGTTCCTAACGAACCACTAATGTACTGTGTTCTTAACGAACCACTAATGTACTGTGTTCTTAACGAACCACTAATGTTCTTAATGAACCACTAATGTACTGTGTTCTTAACTAACCACTAATGCACTGTTCTTGACGAACCACTAATGCACTGTGTTCTTAACGAACCAATAATACACTGTTCTTGACGAACCACTAATGTACTGTGTTCTTGGTGAACCACTAATGCACTGTTCTTGACGAACCACTAATGCACTGTGTTCCTAACGAACCACTAATGTACTGTGTTCTTAACGAACCACTAATGCACTGTGTTCTTAACGAACCACTAATGCACTGTGTTCCTAACGAACCACTAATGTACTGTGTTCCTAACGAACCACTAATGTACTGTGTTCTTAACGAACCACTAATGTACTGTGTTCTTAACGAACCACTAATGTTCTTAATGAACCACTAATGTACTGTGTTCTTAACTAACCACTAATGCACTGTTCTTGACGAACCACTAATGCACTGTGTTCTTAACGAACCAATAATACACTGTTCTTGACGAACCACTAATGTACTGCGTTCTTGGTGAACCACTAATGCACTGTTCTTGACGAACCACTAATGTACTGTGTTCCTAACGAACCACTAATGCACTGTGTTCTTAATGAACCACTAATGCACTGTGTTCCTAACGAACCACTAATGTACTGTGTTCTTAACGAACCACTAATGCACTGTGTTCTTGGTGAACCACTAATGCACTGTTCTTGACGAACTACTAATGTACTGTGTTCTTGGTGAACCACTAATGCACTGTTCTTGACGAACCACTAATGTACTGTGTTCTTAACGAACCACTAATGTACTGTGTTCCTAACGAACCACTAATGTACTGTGTTCTTAACGAACCACTAATGTACTGTGTTCCTAACGAACCACTAATGTACTGTGTTCCTAATGAACCACTAATGTACTGTGTTCTTAACGAACCACTAATGTACTGTGTTCCTAACGAACCACTAATGTACTGTGTTCTTAACGAACCACTAATGTACTGTGTTCTTAACGAACCACTAATGTACTGTGTTCTTAACGAACCACTAATGTACTGTGTTCTTAACGAACCACTAATGTACTGTGTTCTTAACGAACCACTAATGTACTGTGTTCCTAACGAACCACTAATGTACTGTGTTCCTAATGAACCACTAATGTACTGTGTTCCTAACGAACCACTAATGTTCTGTGTTCCTAACGAACCACTAATGTACTGTGTTCTTAACGAACCACTAATGTACTGTGTTCTTAACGAACCACTAATGTACTGTTCTTAACGAACCACTAATGTACTGTTCTTAACGAACCACTAATGTACTGTTCTTAACGAACCACTAATGTACTGTGTTCCTAACGAACCACTAATGTACTGTTCTTAACGAACCACTAATGTACTGTGTTCCTAACGAACCACTAATGTACTGTTCCTAACGAACCACTAATGTACTGTTCTTAACGAACCACTAATGTACTGTTCCTAACGAACCACTAATGTACTGTTCTTAACGAACCACTAATGTACTGTTCTTAACGAACCACTAATGTACTGTGTTCCTAACGAACCACTAATGTACTGTTCTTAACGAACCACTAATGTACTGTGTTCCTAACGAACCACTAATGTACTGTTCCTAACGAACCACTAATGTACTGTTCTTAACGAACCACTAATGTACTGTTCTTAACGAACCACTAATGTACTGTTCTTAACGAACCACTAATGCAAGATGTTCCAAATTTTCTTGCAAATTTTCCGTAGTTTACATCTGATGTAACAACTTCAACTTTACAGCCAGTATCAGTCAAGACGAAGAGTAAACCAGCGTAAACTAAGAGTTGTTATAGATCTCCGTAGTGAGGTAAACTCATCCCTCTCAAGATTGGCGTAAACCAATCCTGCTACGATTGGGGGTTCATGAATCCTTCTTTAAGATTGAAGGTAAGCGTGAAAGTCTGAGTAAATGTACCCAATCATTTCTATCCTGCCCAGGAATCGAACCCGGAAATCCCCCCCCGATTGTGAGTCGAGAACGAAGCCAACTATACTACGAGACCCCTGATATATCTGGTATATTCTGAGATAACCCATCTCGCACGACACAAATAATAATGCGTGATATACTGCAATTGGCAGTGTATGATATTGGTTATACTAGTCTTATAGCGGGGTGTAAGTATACTCAGGTTCGTGGTGTTACTGGTTTCAGGGTCTATAGTCGTTAACGTGACTGGAAACCGAATTAACTCTCTTAGAAACATACGGTAAAGGTACACACAGAAAGCACAATTGCGTGATTCATCAAATGAGCTCATTAAGGGAGTGTCTGAGATGCTCTCGGACGCAGGTTCGAATCCTCGTCACGGCCCTTGTGGATTTGTTCATATAGTAAAGGGTTCCGATACTAGCAGTCTCGAATTTGATTCTCTGTATCAAACGCCGTTTATCAATGGGCTGTGTGAGAGGGGGGGGGGGGGGAAGGAACACACACACACACACACACACACCTGTATGGTCCTCAGGATTACCTGGCGCCCAGGAGCCGAAGTCCGGCAAGGGGGGGGGGCTATTGCAGACATTATTTAAAGGGTCTGCAATAGGGTCTAATTCTCTAAGAGAGAATTAGAGAGATAAGAGATAAGAGAGAGAGAGAGGTGGAGGTGAAGCAGGTTACGGATCCTGCTACGGTAACTGTCCCATCACGTCCAGTCACGGTAACTGTCCCATCACGTCCAGTCACGGTAACTGTCCCATCACGTCCAGTCACGGCAACTGTCCCATCACGTCCAGCCACGGTAACTGTCCCATCACGTCCAGTCACGGTAACTGTCCCAACACGTCCAGTCACGGCAACTGTCCCATCACGTCCAGTCACGGCAACTGTCCCATCACGTCCAGTCACGGCAACTGTCCCATCACGTCCAGTCACGGCAACTGTCCCATCACGTCCAGTCACGGCAACTGTCCCATCACGTCCAGTCACGGTAACTGTTCCATCACGTCCAGTCACGGTAACTGTCCCATCACGTCCAGTCACGGCAACTGTCCCATCACGTCCAGTCACGGCAACTGTCCCATCACGTCCAGTCACGGCAACTGTCCCATCACGTCCAGTCACGGCAACTGTCCCATCACGTCCAGTCACGGCAACTGTCCCATCACGTCCAGTCACGGCAACTGTCCCATCACGTCCAGTCACGGTAACTGTCCCATCACGTCCAGTCACGGTAACTGTCCCATCACGTCCAGACACGGTAACTGTCCCATCACGTCCAGTCACGGTAACTGTCCCATCACGTCCAGTCACGGTAACTGTCCCATCACGTCCAGTCACGGTAACTGTCCCATCACGTCCAGTCACGGCAACTGTCCCATCACGTCCAGTCACGGCAACTGTCCCATCACGTCCAGTCACGGTAACTGTCCCATCACGTCCAATCACAGCAACCGTCCCATCACGTCCAGTCACAACAACTGTCCCATCACGTCCAGTCACAGCACCAGTCCACCACGTCCAGCCACAGCAACAAGCACAACACACGCCCACAAGCACTAATCACCACCACCACCATCACAACCATTCCCTCTTGTCCCAACCTTCCTGAGAACACAACAGTCGCCTTGTTCCCGCCAGTTTTACGCTATTTTGTACTTCATGAATTTTAATGTTTTCGGGAAATTACCCTTTCAATCCTCCCCACCTCCTCTCGCGTTTTTCCTGTATATTTTCCCCCGCCATCACCCCTTTCCCCCAGCCTCCCGTCACACCGTTTCCAGGATTGTGTGACATTCCCACCCCCTGGTGGGCGGTGGGGAGGGGGAGGGGGAGGGGTGGGGGTATTGGGGGAGAGGGGGGGGGAGGGGGAGGTCTGGGTGGTGGGGCGTGGTTAGTTAATTTGTTAGGTAGTAATACCGAGATATATTTTTGCAAAAGAGGGAGGAATGTTTTTATTATTATAATGTAATGGGCATGAATGTGTGTTTGAGAGAGAGAGAGAGAGAGAGAGAGAGAGAGAGAGAGAGAGAGAGAGAGAGAGAGAGAGAGAGAGAACGAATTATACAAAATACAAAAAATACAAAAAATGCAACAATATGATCCTCCAGTCAATCCTCCAGGCTGTCATGGAGGACGCCTGGCCTCGAGTCAAACTGCAACAGTTTAAACACTCGAGAAACCTGCAGTCACTGGTAAACGTAAATATGATATTCAGTAAGCTGGAGGTAAGTTGGGTGAGGCTCGGTGGGTGGGACAGGTACAGGCAGGTCCCAAGGGTTGTGTTCTGGGACCTTCATTCTTCACCAGATACACCAATGATCGAGATACTGGTCTAACAGCAACAGTAGACAATATATCAATGACCCATACTTATGACAGGTAAATAAGCCAGGCCAAAACTAAGAAACGCTATAGAATGAACTAAGTAGACTTAATAATTGGCAGAAAACAATCCCTAAGCGTTCGAAAATCAGCCAGAAAGGCACAAGGATTGACATCTGATTGTGTTGGTATGAAAGGTATTCGACTAAATATTCTTGAGGTTTATACAGAGAAGGAAGTTGAAGTTAGTGACACACGCATGAGGGACCTCACCACCGACAATGCACCAGCATGTCTCACGTTTGTCGACTGAAGCCACTCAATTTGCACTCAATATTAAAAATATTGTATTTAAAATAATTCGTGAACGAAATCACTAAAGCTCTTTATTGTTTCTCTCCTTCAGTTGCATATATGCCTGGGGACCATTCAGGCTTGTTCGCAAATATATATATATATATATATATATATATATATATATATATATATATATATATATATATATATATATATATATATATATATATATAATATGGTATGGTCTGGGGCTGAGATTAACGAGGAGATATGTGGGAGTGGGTCGCTGGGGTGGGTGGGTGTGTGTGTGTGTGGGGGGGGGGGGGGGTCACACACTCACACACATGTTCACACTGATTATGGAAACTGTCTTGGGGGACACGTACATGGGCGGGGGGGAAAGGTCACGGACATGGGGGTGGAATAGACACGAACATAAACGGAAGGAACACGTACACGTGGTTGTATTACAACCACATATGTATATATATATGGATACTTCAGTGGTGGCGCACTGAGTTACAGCCCCGATCCTGTGCCAGGTAAGTCCACCACGGGCTCACCATAGCCCGTGCTACTTGGAACTTTTTGTTCCAAGTAGCGAATCTTAAACAACAACAGGTGGCTCACTGTAATATTAACTGTACAATAAGCTGAGCATCACCGTACTGTAACACTGGTGCTCAGTACAGTGTACGTGTCTTGCTGTATCTGGTAGTTCTCGTGCTATTCATGCCCGTGGCACGGGCATGAATAACCCATAAGGGACTGTCGAGCGACGGCCTCGCTTCATGCAAGTCGGTGTTCAATCCCCGAATGTCCAAGTGGTTGGGCACCATCCCTCTCCCCCCCCTCTCGCCTGGGATAGGGATATTAGGATAGGAGCTCCGGGTAGAGGAATGGAGTGAAGAAAGGGTGACTAATCATTTGGGCCGTCGGGGATCGAACGCGTGTGTGGAACTTGGGTCACATGTGTGGAGCTTGGGTCAGATGTGTGGAGCTTGTGTCAGATGTGTGGAGCTTGGGTCAGATGTGTGACAGTTGTATATATTTTAAGACAAACGTAAGAATTCCTTTCGGATTAACGTGACTTCAATCACATTTAATGAATTTTTGAATATCCTTTTTATAAATGGGTAAGTTAAGTTATTTACACGAACGCACGGCTGCACGTACTCAAACCTTCACGAACGCACGCCTGCACGTACTCAAACCTTCACGAACGCACGCCTGCACGTTCTCAAACCTTCACGAACGCACGCCTGCACGTACCCAAACCTTCACGAACGCACGCCTGCACGTACCCAAACCTTCACGAACGCACGCCTGCACGTTCTCAAACCTTCACGAACGCACGCCTGCACGTACCCAAACCTTCACGAACGCACGCCTGCACGTACTCAATCGTTCACGCATAAAGAATCGCGCAGCGGGTCAAGGCTTGTAATAAAACTAAGGAATGTTATGTTAAATAATTAGACGATTGGCGAAGTTTGTATCGCTGACACTGTGACAGGTGTGGCGCCAGTGTCGCCCGTGTCCGGTGCTTTTGAGAGCATGACAGGTGTGTCGTCAGCGGCGCCTGTGTCCGGTGCTTGTGAGAGCATGACAGGTGTGTCGTCAGTGGCGCCTGTGTCCGTGTCCGGTCTTGTGTGTGTGTGTGTGTGTGTGTGTGTGTAAGAGAGAGAGAGAGAGAGAGACACAGAGACACAGAGAGAGAGAGAGAGAGAGAGAGAGACACACACACACACACACAGGGCACAAAAGAACAGACATAATAACTAGACAACAAGAGCTGCAGGTTCCCGGCATCTCTGGCAGTGGGGCCCCGGAGCCTATATGAATAACATCAAGACACGCTAAAGCGTTGTTATGTGTTGAGCGGCGAAGCTTTAAGCTGCGGGACTGGTTGTACGGGAGCCGTCCGGGAGTATAGCCTCGGGTCATGTACCATATTTGTTGTTGGAGGAGCCCGCCTTCCCATCCCCCTCTCCCGTTTTTCCCAAGTTCTTTTATATCAAACAAACCCAAAATAATGAATAAAAAGGGAAGAAATACACAAAAAAGTGGTTCCTTCCCTACCTCCTCAGCCCCATTTCCCCCCCATCCTCCCCCTTTAGGGATTTCCCACGAACCTCGAGATTTCCAAATTCCAGTGGCATTAATATGTAACTCAGTAGCGCCGGCCCGCCTGGCTGCCTGGCTGGCTGGCTGCCGCTGCTCGCCAAGCTGGCGGTTCCTCCACCTTATCATTCACCTCAACTGCACTCTCCTGAATATCTCAAAATCCTGCACTTCTCGTTCTGGTTTTTGGGGCATTTTGGAAAAAAGTTTTTAAATAGGAATGTTGAGGGTTTTATTGCAGTATTAATTGATGGCTTGGCATCCGGGTTTACCCCAGATGGGCAAACCTCCTTTTTCCACCGTATTTTAGCCCAGTGCTGGTGCTTTTGTGTGTATTTTTATCAATCTGGACCTGTCAGTCTGGCACAACGTTGCCGCCTCCTCGCTGGGTGGCCGAGAGTGGTGGTGGTGGGCTGGAAGGCGCGGCACCGCTGCCGTATTCTCTCTCTCTCCGGGTCCCCAGACCAGAGCATAATTATATTACACAATTACCCGCATATTTTGGGGCCCCTCTGACGATTAACATCTTCCAGCCATCGGTAATATTACAGGTTAAATCTCTCTCTCTCTCTCTCTCTCTCTCTCTCTCTCTCTCTCTCTCTCTCTCTCTCTCTCTCTCTCTCTCTCTCTCTCTCTCTCTCAATGTTATCACGTTTGTATTTACCATGGACGTTAATTGTGAAGGTTTATATACATACAAAATATACTCCCTCACAGTATAGATGTGAGGGAGTATGTTTAGCATATAGTGTGTGTGTGTGTGTGTGTGTGTGTGTGTGTGTGTGTGTGTGTGTGTGTGTGTGTGTGTGTGTGTGTGTGGTTTTGGGCATTTTCAGGACGTTTGGGACACGAGTGTTTCTTATTATATATCGTTGTGTTATTATTTGATTGGACATTATATACTCTCACGTGTTGTTTACACTTGTTGTGATGACATGGTGCCTCCTGTTGTTGGTTGTTGTTGTGTTGTGTATACTTGCACCAGACAGTTTACTACAGGATGTAAACTGGTGTGTTATCGTGCTTCTCGAGTTCACGTTCATGTTCATCTTGGCTGTGTTCTCTTCTTTTGCGAATCTCTGAACAGAACAAATTTGAATAACACCTGCACTCACACCTGTACATTTAATTAAAACTTGTACATGTGATCACAGCTGTACATGTACTCAACCTGAACCTGCACTCAACCCTGAACCTGTACTCAATCCTGAACCTGTACTCAACCCTGAACCTGTACTCAACCCTGAACCTGTACTCAACCCTGAACCTGCACTCAACCCTGAACCTGTACTCAACCCTGAACCTGCACTCAACCCTGAACCTGCACTCAACCCTGAACCTGTACTCAACCCTGAACCTGCACTCAACCCTGAACCTGCACTCAACCCTGAACCTGTACTCAACCCTGAACCTGCACTCAACCCTGAACCTGCATTCAACCCTGAACCTGCACTCAACCCTGAACCTGTACTCAACCCTGAACCTGCACTCAACCCTGAACCTGTACTCAACCCTGAACCTGTACTCAACCCTGAACCTGCACTCAACCCTGAACCTGCACTCAACCCTGAACCTGTACTCAACCCTGAACCTGCACTCAACCCTGAACCTGCACTCAACCCTGAACCTGTACTCAACCCTGAACCTGCACTCAACCCTGAACCTGCACTCAACCCTGAACCTGTCATATTATATTCGAACCAATCATACATAGCTTCACGACCAACGTGTTTGAAAACAACAACTTGGTAACTTGCGCATATTCGTATATACGGTGTTCCACTGAACATATACATACAAAACATACTCCCCTGAACCTGAGGGCCCCCCCCCCCCCCGAGTCGTGCTGAGGGCCCCCGAGTCGCGCTAAGGGCACCTGAGTATATACGTACACGATTCATTTTTAATTGCGTTATCCCTAAGACCAACGGCGTCTGAGGTGCGATAGGAAAACGAAGGTATGAACCATTGTGAAAGGAGGAAGCGGTGAAATTTTGAATTTTACGTTCAAACGAACCTTTTTTTTAATATTTAGTTGTAAACATATTTTGAAAAGTGGCTTGTATATTATTAGTAAATTTGTTTAAATATCTATACTATTCCCATACTAATGTGAGTTTAATCACACACACACACACACACACACACACACACACACACACACACACACACACACACACACACACACACACACACACACACACACCATTGTAAACGCTCCAGTCGTTGCCTTTTTACGCATTTCCCAATGAAAAGATCCCCAAAATGAAGGCGACGGGGCTGTTTTTGAATCTGAAAGAAGTGCCCAGGCCTATTATTGGCGAGTCCGGGCTCTCACGGTATGCGACGGGCCCTCAGTACGACTCGTGGGCCCTCAGCACGACTCGTGGGGCCCTCAGCACGACTCGTGGGCCTTCAGCACGACTCGTGGGCCCTCAGCACGACTCGTGGGCCTTCAGCACGACTCGTGGGCCCTCAGCACGACTCGTGGGCCCTCAGCACGACTCGTGGGCCCTCAGCACGACTCGTGGGCCCTCAGCACGACTCGTGGGCCCTCAGCACGACTCGTGGGCCCTCAGCACGACTCGTGGGGCCCTCAGCACGACTCGGGGGCCCTCAGCACAACTCGGGGGGGGGGGGCCCTCGCACCACTTACCTCCATAGTATGTGCATGTATATGTGAACACCATGCATGAACATGTGTGTGAATGAATTAACAACATGTCTGATTCAAGTTCAAGTATGTTTATTGAGATAAGCAATAAATATATCTCAAAGGGATAGAGTAGCTTAGGCTATTTCTACCCCCCCTGTCTGAATAACATGTCTGAATCATCAATGAGTATGAATGACGAGCATGTATGACAGAATAAGTATGAATCAGAAGCTGGCTAATCCGAAGATAAATTTTTTTTCATGATATAGAGAATATAACACAATTTGTTATGCTCTATTTTGCTAGAATTGTTTTTGTTTAATTATTTTGTTGAACACTGCGAGCCATTATTACTCGTTCTCGACTCACAGTCGAGAATCCCGGGATCGAGCCCCGGGCGGGACAGATATGGTTGGGGACGTTTCATATAATGACGCTGATCACCTAGCAGTAAATAGGTACTCCGGAGTTAGTAATTTTTTTTTTTTTGGGGGGTGGGGGGTGGGTGGGGGTTACATCTGGAGGTAGGTCAGTAGGTCGTGTGTGTGTGGGGGGGGGGGAGGACCTTGGTACTGGCCACGCTAAGGTGCATGGAGCCCTGGCTGTTTGGGTTCGAATCCTTCAGGGGTGAGGAGTTTTCAGTTGCATATTGGCTTGGGGACCATTCAAGCTTCTTAGCATTATATATATATATATATATATATATATATATATATATATATATATATATATATATATATATATATATAATGGATATATCACTAAACTCATGCGACCGGGTCACTCTCCATCCTTCCCATCTCTCTCTCTCAATCTCCTCTCATCTCTTTCACTATCTCATTGTTCTCTCCCCATCTTCCTCCTCTCCTTACATCTCCTTACATTATATATATATAATGGATATATCACTAAACTCATGCGACCGGGTCACTCTCCATCCTTCCCATCTCTCTCTCTCAATCTCCTCTCATCTCTTTCACTATCTCATTGTTCTCTCCCCATCTTCCTCCTCTCCTTACATCTCCATCTTCTTCCCCAACATTTCCCCTCTCTCCTTCTCCTCTTCATCTTTATTCCCAATCGTCCCCCTCTCCACCATTATCCCTCTTCTCTCAGCCTCTCGTTTCTCCCCTCTTCTCCAACATTGCACCTCTCTCCCTTTCTCCACCATTCAACCGTCCTCTCTCCAAACTGTCTTCACATCTTCTGTCCTCCCTCTCGTTTCCTCCCTTTAAATATCCTCTTTAAACATCGCCCCTCTCCCTTTTTCTTTCATCTCACCCCTTCCCTCAATACTCACAGTAATCTCAATCTCTCCCTGCTTCCCCCCCCCCCTCTCTCTCTCTCTCTCTCTCTCTCTCTCTCTCTCTCTCTCTCTCTCTCTCTCTCTCTTTCTCTCTATCTCCCAGAAAACAAATTTATAATGATTTTTGTATTAACGCATTTAGGTACATGTGCATTTGTGCAGCTGTCTTAGACTTAATGAAGGTTGTGTACAGTGTGTCAAGAACTAGCTAAGTGATGCTAAAAGTTCCCATCACACAGGATGGTTACTTATACAGGGCCAAGGGATCAGAAGTCTGCACTGGCAAATTTGGGATGCATTATGAGGATATCCTCAAGAATACGAGTTAATAAAGTAATTGCAAAGCTCCAAGCACCTCGTGCCAACGGGTCTGAAGGTTCGAATAACTGGGCATTTAGAGCAGCCCGTCCTCGGAACGGGCTGCTCGTTCCAACGTCAAGAAAACGGTCAATTTAAAGTGTCCTCTCCAAACCAACCAGAGGACCTAAAACAGAAAACGGGACAATACGTCACTTTCGCGGGCTGATTCCATTTTCTAGTGCGACAATTTTTTTGACCTTATGTTACGTATACGATCGAAATGCGACGTTCTTTTTAAGAGGACATGTTGTAGAGTGATGAAGTGGACGAGATCATGACCCAATTCCTGCTCACAGAGTTTGCACCTGGAGTGCTCAGGATTGGGAGATCCTGAGCACTCAAAAGTCCCCCCCCCCCCACCCCCCCATTTCACAGGGATACACTGAGGGCCAACTTGCTACATTGATAATTATCCGAAATATACTCGGATAATTATCTGACAAGAACAAAATATTAGTAATTGTTATATGATAACTGTACACAGGAGCAATATGTAGGCTGTTACATATTGTTACATACCAGCTGACACTGGTGGTAACTAGTTACCACCAGTGTCAATTACTGTGCCTAAACAACCTGTTTAGACACCGTAAACAGTTCCTCGTATTCTAGAGTTATTATCAGTTATAGTCTACCAGTTATAATTATATCTTATAATTCTATCAGTTATAATTATATATTATAATTATTATGTATCAGTTATAATCTAAGTTTTGGCATTTACGACTTCAACGGGTAGGTGGTTCCATGGGTTAATAGCGCTGTGGGTTATTGGTGAGACGTATAATAAAAAACGTTTTGCAGTAATATATGGTCAATATCTGTGAAGTAATTGGTTAACATGAATATTGAAAAGACAGACGTGCTAATTTATATGTAAATGTATTAGGAATTTTTATAATATAGTGGGTTATAGTCCTCGTACCAGACTGTTGAGATTATAATGAAAATTACTTCAAGTTTATAATTCAGAAATGTCAACTTCCTCGTCTAAATTAAGTTTCAATCTAAATATGCACCATAATAGCAACGAAATATCATCGAGATGAAGGTTTATGGTGTGTTCAGTGGCGAAATTTGCCAAGAAGAAATACATGAGTTACCCCTTAATATTTCACTGAAAACGTGTAGTATAAAAAGAAAATGATTTGCTTTCCGGTATAACTATGTTAGATTATGTGGTCTATATGTTTATTGCTAACATTTTTTTTTCTTCAGTTTATGCACCGACCACATATATATTGAAACATCTTTGATTATCGAAGCTAAATTCGAAGATTTAAACGCTGCATATTAACTGTACGGCTTACAAGAGGATAAAGTTATAACATAACTACAGAAAAATAACAATAGCATGACAACTGTGAACAAATGAACCACAAGGGCCGTGACGAGGATTCGAACCTACGTTCGAGAACTATGATGGAAAATAACCATGTAACCTTAAATACCCAAAATGTACTTGCTTAATGTAGAAAACCTCAAGTAAATTATACATAAAGTGCAGTAAGCAAGTCTTGCGTATATACACTAAGTTTATTTAAGTTCTTGACTATGTACATAGCTAAAGTATACTTACTGTTGGTAGTAAACTATTGAGGTAGCCTTATTAACTCACCCGTGATTGATAGGCCGAAGGCCCCCCCCAAAAAAAAAAAATCGTACACCATCTAGTGACGATTATGTGATCAATAATTCCGACTTTAGAAAATACAATTATTTGGCTTATCTCGAGTATTTAGACGAGTTTACATGATGGCCGCCATCACAAGTGACCTCGACGAGGGACAAGGAAACCGGTGGCTTACTTTATCACAAAGCAACATGGGAGGGAACTACGGCTCCTCCAGAGATTGAACTGAGTACGGTAGTACTAACACCGGAAGTGGTAATAATGGACCAGCTCCAAAATACTTGCCGAAACAATGACTGTGGAAGGGAAGAGAACTATCATGGAGAAAATGCCAAGCCATTACGACTATATAACACTGGGAAGGGGTCAGGATACGGATTTGTTATGGGACGGGGGGAAGGACCCAACCACTTGGACGGTAGGGGATTGAACACCGACCTGCATGAGGCGAAACCGTCGCTCTACCGTCCAGCCCAAGTAGTTGGTTTAGCCTAGCAAGGTATCACCGTGGATCCTAAAGGAAGTTGCTCGAATCTTGTGCATGACACTTAAAATGATCTCCAGTGTTTCACTGAGACATGGGAAAGTGCCCAGTAGCTGTAAGGAAGGGGAACAGGGAAGAACCATTCGACTACAAAGCACCAACATGAAATTATGAAAGGAAAGTCACACCGGCTAAACCTTTTGAAGATCAGGGAAGCAAAAGAAGTTAGTGGCTTGCATACTATTAGACTCGGAAATAATTTATCACAAGAAGTGTTTCTATTAACTTAGGTAAATCTGCATTTATGCAGCAA